AACTTAACTTACATTTTTTCTGTATTAACTTAACTTAACGAGTTAAAATAATTAGTTAAATTGCCCAGCCTTGATTAATATAAATATACATATAAACATAGCGTACTGCTCACCCTGTGAGTTGTCTTACGACACCGTTTACTGTTCAATACAATTGTACTTGGCTTATAGGGCATAAAATGTATATGGATATAAATAAAATAAAATAAAGATAATAATTGAATTAGCAGTAGAAAAAGAAAGAGAAAAAAAATATTCCTAATAACATTAAAATAATATGTTTATAATGCTGTATAATTATTATTTATATAATAACTTTAACATTGTCAATAATTAATTATTTTTTAATAAATAATTATTTTAATACCAAAGCAGTTTTAATTAATATTTTCACACATTTTCATAGTTTAAACTTTAAATAGTAGTGATTATAATACTACCATTATTTGTACATAATCAGCAGTCTAATTTTATATTTTATTATATCGATGTCAATAATCACAACCATATTATGGATTATGTTTTAACTCAGTAGAATCAAAGGATGTCCATTTAAAGGTTTTTTTACTTGAATTTTTTAATACAACTAAATTAATTATGATGCAAAATTTTGACTTTAAAATCCTAGAATCTTGTGTTATCAATAAAAAGTGTATAAACCATGAATTAAGATATACAATATATATAAGGTATTAAGGTATATCTCAATTTGTAGTGCAAACACTATTTAAAAAATAAAACCATAACAATTTATTGTCACTCTTCATGCAAAACACACAAAGTCCAAAAATCAATTAATTTAAAATCAGGTTATTAAAAGGAATTAGGTTATCAGGAATTAAAAACATCTACGTACAATATGCAGTATTCTATTAAGTCCCAATATTATTTGGATGTTTTAGAACCAATTTAAAATGTCAACCAAGTCCATTTGAAAGTTTCCTAGCTGATTCTCAAAAGTCATGTTTTTTTAGACTTTGTATATATTGCATGAATAGGGGTAATATACTTGTGTATAAGTATATTTTTAACAGGGAAAGAAAAATTAAATTAAAATAAATATAATAAATCAAAAAATATATTGAAATTATTTTTTTTAATGACCAATTGTACAAAGTACATAGAATATTATGATGAAATCAAATTGTGTGATTAATATTTTCTTCGCTATCATTGTTTGGTGTTTTTGATCGAAATTTAGCACCTGCAATAAAGACTTTAATTGGCCCTTCAATGTCAATGGTATTGCTGTCTTTAAATTTTTCAATCTTCTTTATTGAATCTGAAAACAGTTAAATTTTAAATATATTTAGATATATATACTAGATGATATTTTTTAAATTATTATACTCTAATAAAAATTAGATATTTAGAGGGCAACAACAGTTGAATAACATCAGCTGACTTCCTCAGACAAGTCAACGACTCAATACTGATCTCATTTTGAGTAGAATATGGTTAATAATAAATTTAATCCGATTTTTATACAATGTTAAAATGTTAACATTAAGGTACGTTATATTATGTTTAAAATTGATTCAAATAAATTAACTTACTAAAGATCAATGAACAAACAGCCAGTGTTGAAAAAATCTTTTTTTTTTGACCTTTGTAACTATAATCCATTAATAAGGAATCAACAAATAGGAATCTCAACATTGCTCTTACAGTGCTTGGAAGTGTAGGACGTACCAGCCGTGATAATTCTGTTATCTGTTAGAAACATTTTCAAAAAATGTAAATTAACTAACTATAATAGCAAGAACCAATATATTGTGTTAAATATAATGGTTATAA